TGATATGAAGCTTGCAGTGGACAAGGTTGTTGTAAATGCTCAATGGCATGTTCATGGATACAGTAATATCACATCAATAATACAGTAATATCCCATCAATAATATGGTACTGGGTGATTCAGCAGTGTTCATAATGATGGCCAAAGTGGGGTAATAAAGGGTCATAAACAGTGGCCAAAGTCACTCAGGCGTTTATGACCTGGTTTACAACCCTGGCATTTATGACCCCAGCGTTTATGACCCGACGTTTACGACCCCGCGTTTACGACCCCAGCATGAATCAAAAACACAGGGGAAGTCACCCCAGTTGATGGTAATTAATGTTTATGGTAATATCATATCAATGAAGGAAAAACTACTAAAAGTCACAGAAAATGTCATTTATTCTACCTCTACATTGTCTACAATGAAAGAGGAGGACTTCAGAGTACTGTTAGTAATGGATGAGTATGCTCTGCATGCTTCAAATATTTTAAAATGAAGTTTTATTCCCAGTGTCCCAAGTAGCCCGGTTCAACGGGGCTACTCGGGACACTCTTTTTTTGCTTCTGGCACCTTACGAATAGCATATGGAATTTTTTTGAAGATGCCATTCGATAGCCCTCGCAAAGAGCTATAAAATGAGCCTAAACTTGTTCATGAAATGTTTCATCGTAAGAAGTTATTAACAAAAAACGCTCAAAACCGTCCCGAGTAGCCCCGGTTGATGGTAATATATTACCTATACAGAATTCCATACTGCCAAATAACTCCAGGTTGTGGTGCATTGTAGTAGAACTCTTCTAGTTACATATGCAAAAGACAAATTTTAGGAAAGTGTCATAGTTTGCAAATGGGGGGTGCCGCCCCCAAATAGGCGAAATGTGACCATCTAATGGCAGCCATGACGGGGGTAACATAGACCGGTTTGGAAATTAAGTTAAAATTATTATATATAAGACTCTGTAGAGTCTGAAACATAAAGAAAAAACATTAATAGGTGTATCAAATATAAATAATGTTATATAGGTACCTATGGTAATTTTAACTTAATTTCCAAGCCGGTCAATGTTACCCCATCATGGCTGCCATTAGGTGGTTAAAAGTTAACCCATTTGCAAACTATGACACTTTTCTAAAATTTGTCTTGTGCATATGTAACTAGAAGAGTTCTATTACAATGCATCAAAACATGGAGTTATTTTACCAAAAAAATAAAAAAATTGGAGGGGGTACTCCGACAGGCTTTGAATAATAGCTCTTTTTCGTGGGTCACATTTTTAATTTTTTAACCTATTATATATGCAAACTTTTTAAATCTTTCTATTGTTTTACATAGCCTCAGTATTAGGCCTTTGATGGCCATTGACAAAAGTTTTCTATGTCGAATCGTTTTTGAGTTTTGGGGGTTTTTGTTAAAAAAACAAAAGTGGTCAAAGTTACCCTGCCGGTCAAAGTAACCCCATTTTACGGTAACTTGATTATGAACTTTGGTAAGTTTGGTTACCTGATTATTTCATTGGAAACCATTCTGTAAAACTGTGCAAAAGCTAACTGTGAACAAGACTAAAATACCTGTACTTTTACAGGTTTTACTTGCACTTTGACTCTGCTGTCAATTTCATCTGTTATCATTGCTCGTGCTATTTTGACGTGATTTCTTTCGTAAAAAATTTAGAAATGTCACAATCACATTTTTGGCTGTAATTTTTAAAAATTGTCCATAAAACAATAGTAGTTTTTATCTGCCATTTATAAAAAACTATTTCTGATATTCCAGAATCCAGATTAGACAGGAGTCACAGGACTCACAGGTGATATTTGGTTTTGGTCTAGTGCAAAATCCTGGCTTGATATGAATCACATGATCCAGGGTGCAGAGGGTGCAAGCAGCAGTGCCAAGATATGGTTTTTCAACCAAAAGCATCACCGGCTATTTTCAAGATCCGTCAACAGTAATTTTTAATAAGAAAATGCTGCAAGCAACTTTGATAGTAGGTTTATCCCTTAATATCCACACACCAAAACACTTACACACAACGTAACTGATTTCTGGTTCCAGTCAAGCTTCACTGCATCCTGATCTTCCGGCGAACCAGAAACCTTACTGTGTGCACTTGCAGTCCTTCACATTTCCAGGAATTTCAAAGTTATTTCTCATATGCAATAATTTCAATCCAAAATGGCAAGATCTTCAGAAGGCTTAAATTTTGCTGCTGATGCGTTCAATGCCAAAGATCTTGCAATATTCACCCACTTTCTGCACAGTGGGATATGATCACTTGACAGAAATTATATGTGATTTTTTACCTAGAATTCTGATTGATAATAATAGTAAAACTTAAAGATTGACTTATTATAAACCAGTTGTAGCATAGTTACCACTTGCCAATCTAAAATAGGAGGCAGAAGTTTTTTTAAAAATCAGGCTGATAAATATGATTTTATTAGGGATTTTTGAAAATTTTTGGCAAAACTTTTTTTATGATTTCAATTTTTACAAAAGAAATTGGTCAAGGGACATGGGAACTGGTGACATTGACAGTAAGCACAGGCATTTTCCCCTTATTCATGGGCAATCATGGGTATTAGTAGCTCTGGCATGGAATGAGTTTTTCTGCCATTTTTGGGGCTGCAAGATTCCTGCTAGATGAATTACTTTCTATCTAATTGTCATCAAAAGTGTACAATCTGTCTGCAAGATTCAAAATGTGTTGAAAATCCGTCAACTTTGAGCTTTAAATGTCAACCACAAGTTTGAAAATTCCAATCTTATGGTAGCTTTGGTCTGTTTCTCTACTTTAAGAAACTTGAGAAATAAAAAACAACATGATTCACTTCACTGCATATACTGCACTGAACTCTCATAATAGACTGCTGCTCTTAGATTGACAGCTTTGGTATATATATATATATGGTTTTATATGCATAATTTGTCAGAAGGGTAAATAGGTAAAATTCATGGTGCAAGTCTGGCATGGAATATATCTACTGTAAAAGGAGGTTACTTAGACTCCTGTGGTTAATTAGACCACTTTTAGTTTTTTAACAAAAACCCCCAAAACTCCAAAACTATTTGACATAGAAAAATTTTGTCAATGGGCATTAAAGGCCTAATACTGAGGCTATGTAACACAATAGAAAGATAAAAAAATTATGCATATCTAAATTTCTTGTGTGACGCACAAGAAATAGCTATTATTTAAAGTCTGTTGTAGAACCCCCTCCAATTTTTTTATTTTATTTTTTTTTTTGGAAAATAACTCCTGGTTTTGGTGCATTGTAGTAGAACTCTTCTAGTTACATATGCAAATGACAAATTTGAGGAAAGTGTCATAGTTTGCAAATGGGGGGGTGCCACCCCTGAAGGAGGGAACTTAGATTACCTAATGTCAGCCCTGATGAGGTAACATAGACTGGCTTGGAAATTAATTGAAATTACCATATATAACATACTTTATGTTTGATACACCTATTAATGTTTTTTCTTTATGTTTCAGACTCTACAGACTCTAATTATTGTTAGATATTGAGTTCAATCTTATAGGCATTGACCTTAGTTCATTTGTCATTTGCATATGTAACTCGAAGAGTTCTACTACTACAATGCACCAAAACCTGGAGTTATTTTACAAAAAAATAAAATTGATTTTACCACCCAGTCTAAGATACCCCAAGAGTGGGGGGATACCAGTAACAAAGATCATCACTTTTTTTTAAATTACATCAAATCTATACACCTTGAGTATAGACCTGTATTTTGCACATTTCAATTTAAGTTTAATTTAGATAGTAAAAAAAAAGTAGTCTAAGTAACCTCCTTTTACGGTACTTTGCAAGCTGTGACTGAATTTTTCGAGCCATGGTTGTATGGATTAGCCAGCCTTATTTATATTTCTTTGAGCCATGATTCAATTTTTTCAAGCCATGAATTCCATATCTCGGCCATGAAAAGCCATTTACGAGGCATGAACTTTTTTACAAAATCCATGCACATGTTATCCCAAATCTCTAATTTTACCCTAAAACAGTCAAATGGCAACAATAACATTTGTCTTTACTGTAAGCTGAACACATGTTAATGCAGTCTGACATGACTGTAACTATGCGCAATCTTCAACAAAGAAACATTTAGGTTGAGTTGTTTACATTAGGATGATTAGTACGTTCTGCAGGATATTTTGGCAGGAACGGGAAAGTAATGCTGATTGCGGAAGTGGAAAATTTTGTGAAATGACACGTTTGCAAAGTGTAAACAGCAATTTTTTCATTCAAACAAAAGTTTATGACATTCAAGCCACAAGATTTCATACCTATACTGAAATTAGGTATATGATATTAGAGCTGCAATATTTCAGAAAAATAGGTCTTTTCCAGCCCTGGTATAAGTAATCAAAGCATTGTTATTTCTCAAGGTTTGGCCTTGATACCATAAATATAGGCTACCAATTATCTAAATCAAATTATGTGATTTCTTATCCTCGTCAAAATCATCATTCATTACAGATAAGTCTGCTGAATCACCTGTTGGCAAGTTCCGTTTGGGCGGCTCCACACAAATTCCTTCAGGTTGTCCCATGCACGAAGACTACCAGAAAAACAAAGAGCAGCAGGCAAACCAAGTAAGTTTCTAACTATAATCCACAATTATGGAAGTGTTTACTGTTAGGTCATTAATGAGCAAGCAAACAACGTATCAAAGTTTTTTATTAAATATTTTTAAAATAAATGATTAATAAAGTTGGTAATTCTATTGGAGAATTTGAAGGCTATTAAGAGAATTCAACCTTGTTGTAATATATTTCATTGATTAAAGTTCTCATTACTTTCATTTTTCAGAACAAGAATGCATCAGACTGCTCGGCCAGCAGTAATGAAGGGCCTCTACATCAACTTGGCTTGAGCTTTGGCAAGGATTATACTGGCAAGTTTGTAGACATTGACCCTCTGAATAATGAGGGTGCTCCCAACCAACAGCCTGCTCCTGATCAGCCTTTCTCATTGCCAACACACCGGCAGGTTTGTAGTGAACCAACTTGATGAACATCTGTCGTTTTGACTTATAAATGTCCCTACGAGTAATTTGACTGCTCTTGTCTTATTCCATAATCAGAGCCTGAATAGAATAAGCTTGAACTAGGTACCAGTACTGGTATGTGCATCATAAGGCCTAACATTTCAATAATAAATGCATTTTTTAAAAGAGTTTAATGATGCTTAGTTTCAAGATTTTGACTGTTGTTTCAATGCTCCCAAATTTACACATTTTACAGGTCTCGTCCATCCCCAAAGCAGTGTCGGAGAAGAACGAGCACTGGGTGTATCCTTCTCAGCAGATGTTCTGGAATGCGATGCTGCGTAAAGGCTGGCGCTGGAAAGATGATGACTTGAAGCCTTCTGACATGGATAATATCATCATGATCCATAACAATAACAATGAAGCAACGTGGAGAGAGGTCCCCACTGACAGTTTTACATGACTTTGCACCCATGAGACTAGTTTTAAAATTATATTTCCTGTGTTGGTTACGTATTTTTCTCTTAGAGGAAACAATCTGTATAAATAATGATAATAATATGAACTCTGGTGTTGCAAACTTGATTTAACTTGATGAGCAATCAGTCATTAAATACTATAAAAATTGTTCTATTGAGCTATAGTGTGCATTGTATAGTGTACCTAATTGTGTAGTATTCAGCAACATTAATAATTGCTCGCTGTTCATTCCAATAATTTATCTATTCTGTAAAGTAAAGATGTTGTTAGTACTATTCAGTTGGTAATTCACAATGATAAGTGTATGCAATAACAATATTTGAGTGCTTGCCTTTTCATTAATTTTTAGTAAAATTCATTTAGATTTTTTCTAATAAATTATATTTTTGCACAATTAAGAAGGTCGTTTGTTGTGCAGGTGCTGAAGTGGGAGATGATGCATTACAAGGAGTGCGGTCAGCCCAAGCTGAAGAAGTTCGGTGGCCGCGCCAAAGATATCTCGCCGCGAGCCAGGATCAGGGCGTGGATGGGGTCAGTTGTCTTTATGGCTCAGGATAAAGGGTTTGATGGGGGGGGGGGCTTTATCCACGGCTCAGGATAAAGGGTTTGATGGTGAGGCTTTATCTACGGCTCAGGATCAAGGGTTTGATGGTGAGGCTTTATCCACGGCTCAGAATAAAGGGTTTGATGGTGGGGCTTTATCCACGGCTCAGGATAAAGGGTTTGATGGTGGGGCTTTATCCACGGCTCAGGATAAAGGGTTTGATGGTGGGGCTTTATCCACGGCTCAGGATAAAGGGTTTGATGGTGGGGCTTTATCCACGGCTCATAAAGGGTTTAATGGTGTGGGTCACGGTATTACTTCGGCTACATTTACAAACCTTCTACTTATGCCATGTTAGCAAACGACGTCTCCCTTTAGACGGCTGTCTTTCTTGCAGGTGTCTCCCTATTGACGTCCATCTCCCCTACAGGTACGAGCTGCCGTTTGATCGTCACGACTGGATCGTGGACAGGTGCGGCAAGGAGGTGCGCTACATCATCGACTACTACGACGGTGGCGACGTCGACCCTCAGTCTAAGGAGTTCGCCATCCTGGACGTGCGTCCTGCCATGGACAGCCTCGAGAACGTCTGGGACCGCATGGTGGCCGCCTGGTGGAGGTGGACCAGAAGTCCAGCTGATGATGAATTTGTGCCGAGTGTTCTTAATAATAAACCAAGGGGCGGGCAAAATAGCGCCCAGCAACAGAAAGAGAATGCCAGTTAAGAACAAACCGGATAGTTTCTTATTGATGATGATCATAAAAATGATTTTTCTTTATGATTAAAAGTAATTTGGGGTGATGAATGAGGGAGAAGGTACGTATGTCAAAAGATGAAATGATTGAAGGTGTCACTGCTAAATAAGTAACGTGTTAATGCCGGTTGCAAATGAAGGGTTGGGTGGACATGATGAATATATTGGAGAAATTCAATTCAGATTTTTTTTCAATATTGGGGAACAGCAAAAAAAGTTAATTTTAAAGTATTTTTCGCGGGTAGTTTTTCATTTTTAAGAATGAGTACCTCGCTTTTGCTGTTTACACTAAAATATTTTTGACACTAAGGCTGCCATATTATTTATTAACGGGACTCTTACTTAATTTCCTCATGCAATTCACCTGCTCAAGTGATGGATGCGACTCTTTTCATTTGTTTATGAGTCTCAATCATTTGTTGATTCATGTTACTGTAACTGTACTTATCATTTTCACGTTTATTTTATATAAAGGGCACGCTGCTTGTCGTAAACTTGCCCATGGCTGAAGCTAGCAGGGACAATTCATATATTAATAATTCATCCATTAAGAATGAATTTGACACCACTGGATACAAAATAAATTCTTAATTAAGAATTCATAGGCTGAATTCTTGAGGATTTGACTTGAATTTTATATTAAAGGATGAATCCGAACATTGTGTTATCTGAGGTGCGAGTACCAAAGTCGACTCACTGTCAAGTCAGTTTTTAGGATAATGAGTCGAGTTATTTTATGTAGAAGTGCCCCCTGTATTACGGATTTAATTCAAACTCGATGAACCAGAGTTTGATGCACAAATTTTTTTGCTCTCAATGTGGAAAATCACTTTTCATAATACATGGACATAGAGAGGTGAATTCATCCCCTGGATATAATGGGCAATTATTCGATAATTAGAACGTTTTTCATGCTTCGACACAGCTCTTAACTTGGCTTCTCATTCAAAAGCTAGTCGCTTAGAATAAATAAATCTCTATTTTCATTTCAAGTCGCTATTTTTTTCATTTCAAATCGCTATTTTCATTTATTCGCGATCGGTTTGTACGCTCATCATTCACCTGCTGAATTCTCAAATTTCTATTAATCATTTAAATGTACCTTAATTTCCATCACAATCTTTACCACATGTTCTAAGCTTCAGCCATATTCTTAATTTCAAAATTCATAAGGACTATTTTGCCTTGATATTCGGGTTATATTGTGAATATTACCGCCGCTATCCAATAAAAATTGAAATCTCTGACGTTCAACCAGTAGTTTAAGGTTGAACTACGTCGCTAGTGTTTGTTTGTACATAGTTTGTGCTGTACAAATGTAATAAATCTTGTGACTGGCGGCCGCTGTAATGCTATTAATTCTTATTCACCTTCTCAGTTCCGCCTTAAAATTTCATCCATGGCGCCATTATTTCAGACTAAAAATCTAGCTAATTATACGTGATATTTAAATAATTTGATTAATGAATTGAAGTAAAAATTATTTAAAGGCCGTGCTCCTTCGTAAGTCAGCGCTTGCGTGTTGATCGTGTCTGCTGACGCTGCAGCTAGTCTGCTGACGCTGCAGCTAGTCTGCTGACGCTGCAGCTAGTCTGCTGACGCTGCAGCTAGTCTGCTGACGCTGCAGCTAGTCTGCTGACACTGCAGCTGGTCTGCTGACGCTGCAGCTAGTCTGCTGACACTGCAGCTAGTCTGCTGACACTGCAGCTAGTCTGCTGACGCTGCAGCTAGTCTGCTGACGCTGCAGCTAGTCTGCTGACGCTGCAGCTAGTCTGCTGACGCTGCAGCTAGTCTGCTGACGCTGCAGCTAGTCTGCTGACGCTGCAGCTAGTCTGCTGATGCTGCAGCTAGTCTGCTGACGCTGCAGCTAGTCTGCTATCATAGCTACTACCTACTGCAAAGTCTTATCACTATTATTTATCGATGAGTAAAGCTTTTTAGTCTGTAATAACTAAGTCGAAGTTATATACGTACCTGACGGCCTTACGAACAAATTCCTTGCGTTCACATAACTTCACAATTGCGGAAATTTTACGGGTTTTCATACTTCTTACCGCTTTGAATTTTAATAAATGAATAATTTGAGTATCATGAGATTAATTGAAGTTTGTATCGCTGATTATTTATATCATTGATTATATTAATTTGTATCGCTGATTATATATTATTTGTATTATTCATGCAAAAATGAACTCATTTTCATCCATTTAATGATGAAATTGTCATCCATTTAATTTTGAAATTGTCCATTTAATGTTGAAATTGTCATATTTTTAATAACGAAATTGTCATTCTGTTAATGATGAAATTTTCAACCATTTAATTTTGAAATTGTCGTCCATTTAATGTTGAAATTGTCATTGATTACAAGCAATCGCCGGCAGACGATATTATTAGACAGACTATTTATACAACATTCTCCTAATGATGAAATTGTCATCATTTTAATGTTGAATTTATCATTATTGTTATAATAGTGAAGTTGTGTGATGCGTTGCATTTGTCGTGAGATGGGAGCTTGTGACGTCCCTCTTGCCCGGAGTCACATTGTTTATAGTTACTAAAAATGACGCAAACAATTTTTAATGAGGGAATTGTTATTATATGTAAAATATGAGAATATCTATGTGCAGAGGGTGGGTATTCAATTCTAACTCACTTGAGTTGGTAAGTAATAAAGATTCAACGGATTAAGGAGAGCGTGCATCGAATTAATTTTTTTAATTGATTTTGAGAGTTCGGGTATGATCGAATTCATGTGCAAGATGTATAACAGTTACAGAGCGTGAAAAATTTAATGCATTATATCAGAATGACGAAGTAAAAAAATATAATCAAGCGCGAAAATATGTCAGGAAGCTTGCAAAAATATAAATTTTATTGTGAAAATGTGATTTGTTCTAACAGAATTGTGTAAGGACAACCGAATTTTTAATTAGAATTATTCACTTATGACTAAAGTGCTAATTGGAAACAGAGCGCGTGATAACCTGGCATACAGCAAAAGGAAATCAGTTATTGACACTATTAGTTATAATATCAATATGAAACAAGAAGCAAAAATATTAACATGGAATTAGAAATGTGTTGCTAACAATTGTTCAAAATGGAGTATTTCACTTTATTTCTGCATCATCGGCCCCGATTTTTCTAGTATTTAAAAAATATATATATTCAGGTCACCGATGAGGTCTCTGACCTAAATAAATGATTCATGCATGACTAATTTCTAGGATAGGCTTGGTAGTTTGTAGGAGTCAAATTAATTTATCGTAAAATCCTGTCTATTGACGTTTGAATTACTTTAAATTTTAATTAATCACTTTAATTTACAGTTACTCTTCATTTCACGACTGCTTTCTATGAGCGATATTACCTATATTAAAATCTTTCAGTTGACTCATGAATTTAACATTTCAGTAAATATTAGTAAATTATTTCAAAAACTATCAGATTTATTCTTATAAACATGTGCAAGACTGTTTTCTATACGCGAGATTACATTGAAATCTTTTAGTTGACTTATAAATTATTACATATTGTAAATTTTAGTAAATAATTTAAACAACTATCAGATTTATTTATATAAACACTTGCAATGCTGCGTACGAAGGCGCTAAGCAAGCTGCTGCCGCGCTCTAGACCGGAGCGCGCGCTGCTGACCCTGCTCGTCCTGGGCGTCCCGTGCGCTGCCGTCTGGATGTGGCTCGTTGTCCTGCCTCAGTTCCCGGGTGCTTGGCATTCTGCTTTTATCCTGCACGTGGTCTTGACAGTTTACCTCTTGTACAAGTGAGTTATACCAGGTATAGGTGGGTGGTATGCATTGTAAGTGCCTCTTGTACAAGCGAGTTATACTATATGCGTTGTAAGTGTCTCTTGTACAAGTGAGTTTTACTATATGCGTTGTAAGTGCTTCTTGTACAAGTGAGTTATACTATATGCGTTGTAAGTGCCTCTTGTACAAGTGAGTTATACTATATGCGTTGTAAGTGCCTCTTGTACAAGTGAGTTATACTATATGCGTTGTAAGTGCCTCTTGTACAAGCGAGTTCAAATATATGCGTTGTAAGTGCCTCTTGTACCAGCGAGTTCAACTATATGAATTTAAAGGGAACAATTTAGTTTAATAGTGAAATGACCTAGTGGTTAAGATCACCAAAATTTTAGCATTGAGTTGTGGGTTCGACTCTCGATAGCTTTGGAAAATTCTGGTCGATATTAGAGAGGCGGCTGGCCGGGTAAGAACAAGGAGATTGGACTTACTGTTAGTTGCGGGTTCGAGACCCAGCTAGGTGAGAATATTTTTCGTCTTCCGGTTATTAGATTTCATGCTTAGAATATTTTAAACTGAACAATATTCGACTGATAATGAGAATATTATTGTGAACAATATTTAACTGATAATTAAAATATAATTCAGAATAATGTATTGCTTTTAATATCGCGTTTATATCGCCATAATGTAATGTAAACAATGTAGTATAAATGCTAAAACGTATATTAACAATGATATTGCGTTAATATTGCCGTAATGTAAACAATGTTGTATGAATAATAAAACGTATATTAACAATAATATTGCGTTAATATTGCCATAATGTAATGTAACGTTTTCTTTAAAGATACTATGAATTTTTGTGGTGTTTTCTTTGCTATTAAGTTTTTAGTGAATTTGCGATTCAATGAATTTTTGTGGAGTTTTCTTTGCTATTAAGTTTTTAGTGAATTTGCGATTCAAGCAAACGAGTGATATTATTACGTAATGTAAACAATGTAGTATAAATAATAAAATGTATATGAATAATAACATAGCGTGTTGCCTGGGCAGCGTGAGCGTCAACTTCTTCCTGACGATGCGCGTGGACGCCAGCGGCGACCCCAGCGCCCTCCCTGTCTTCCTTAAGCCTGGTACTGTGTACTGTGTGAGGGTACTGTGTACTGTGTGAGGGTACTGTGTACTGTGTGAGGGTACTGCATACTGTGTGAGGGTACTGCATACTGTGTGGGTACTGTCTTAACTGTGTGAGGGTACTGCCCCACCTTTACTGCCACCTGCCACTAAATACTGCCACTACTGCCAGGCTGGCGCTACTGCCACTACTGCGAGCTAAACGCCCCCGCGCGTTCGTATCACTGCAGCGACTGCGGCAGCTGCATACTGCGCCGCGACCACCACTGCCGCTTTACTGGTCAGTGACCGTCGCTACTGCGTCACTGGTCAGTGACCGTGGCATGAGCATGAATTTTTATTATGTATTATATTTCAATGCATTTTTATATATATGCGTCATAAATAATGACGCATTTTTATCTCAGCCTGTCCCAGTTTTACTCGGGCGTATCGTTGATATATCTGCTGTATTGATGAGAAATACTGATAATATTCTTGTTTTATTAGGTTGATTTATGGACAATGTTACCCATTCATTATTCTCCATATTATTATTTGCACAACTATTTTATCATTTTTGACAATATTACCCCTGTATATTTCTGAGTTGACGAACCAGTGTAACCACCACCCAGGTTGCTGCGTGGGCCACCACAACCAGCGGTTCTTCGTGGCTGGTCTGGTGCACCTGGTGGCAGGTCTAACCTACCTGCTGGTCTACCAGTGGCCCCTGGTCTACCGTCTACTCGGGGTCTCCATCTACACCTTCCCCCTGGTCCTCCTAGCCCCACACTTCGCCTGGGTCTGGGGGACCATCACCCACTGGGGCATGATGGTAATGACGTATGTTGCGGGGACCATCACCCACTGGGGCATGATGGTAATGACGTGTGTTGCGGGGACCATCACCCACTGGGGCATGATGGTAATGACGTGTGTTGCGGGGGCATGATGGTAATGACGTGTGTTGCGGGGGCATGATGGTAATGACGTGTGTTGCGGGGGCATGATGGTAATGACGTGTGTTGCGGGGGCATGATGGTAATGACGTGTGTTGCGGGGGCATGATGGTAATGACGTGTGTTGCGGGAACCATCATCCATTAGGCCTCAATTATATTACTTAGCTCCCATTTAATTAGTTAAAATTATTATATACTCAATTAATAATTATATAATATACTCCATCACACACACCATAATCAATAAAATTATAGTCAATATACAATTGTGTGTCAGGCAAATAATAATAATCAATACAATATACGTATAGTCTATAAACAATTGTGTATCAGGTTAAAAATATTAATCAATATAATTATAATCAATATACAATTTCCTGTCATGTAAATAATAATAGTCAATACAATATATTGTCAATATACCATTGCGTGTCAGGTAGCTACGGTGCACTGCGCGTGCGTGGCTGCGTGGATGACGTGCGTGTACGTGAGCTACACGCAGCTCAGGGTCATCATCACGGGCACCACGCAGCACGAACACAAGCACGGCGTCACCATCTATAACGTCTCCGTCACGCACAACATCACCACTGCACTCGGTCACAGGTCTGTGTGCTCTGTGTGTATGTGCCTTCTGTGTGTGCGTGTGTCTTTTGTGTGTGTGTGTCTTTGTGTGTGCGTGTGTCTTTTGTGTGTGCGTGTGTCTTTTGTGTGTGTGTGTGTCTTTGTGTGTGCGTGTGTCTTTTGTGTGTGTGTGTTTTTGTGTGTGCGTATGTCTTTTGTGTGTGCGTGTGACTTTTGTGTTTGAGTGTGTTCTGTGTGTGTGTTTGAATGTTTTGTATAATATTTTTTGTCGATTAGTCTGTCTCTGTAACAGGTGGTATGGGGTGTTATAGTCTGTCTCTGTAACAGGTGGTATGGCATGTTATAGTCTGTCGCTGTAACAGGTGGTATCTGGTGTTATAGTTTGTCTCTGTAACAGGTGGTATCTGGTGTTGTTCTGGCCTCACGTGTCCTCCACTCTGGCCTCCGATGGCCTGATCTTCACAACGGCGGCCGACCACCAAGAATTGAAGGACATCTGAGGTGGACTGAGCAACTTCATGACGAATACTCTCATAAAAGATCATCGCTATTAGGTCAAAGACTTGATCATTTATTTGAGTGTGGAACTTTCGTTTTCTTAACAACTGATGAACTGTACGTATTTTTTTTATTGGACGACGATTGCGCACAATTTTTTTTTTCTTTAAAACTACCGTGGCTTATTTTCTACTGTAGTTTATGATTACCATTTGTTTTATCTGTCAAAATTTAACAAGCCTCAGCAAAATGTTTTTATTGTTTAAGAAGCTTAAGGAAAAAGCAAAAATGTATTAAGCCTAAACAAAATGTTTTTATGTTGATTAAAATTTGACAAGCCCTAAGAAAATAAAAAAATCTATAGTCTATCTATCTATTTATTGGATATTTTTCGACTTCATCCTAGCAGCTCAAAAAAGAGAAAATTTTCAAAATATTTAAAAGTTAAAAAAATTCCTTGTTTGGAATGAACCAAATCCTGGAATAGTGCAAATTCTGGAATTGTATTGAACGTATGTGACTTAATGTGAGTGCCTTAAATGCCCATAAATATATTTTTCAAAAAATATTCATGCTCGTGCCTTGAAAGCAATGGTTTTAATTTTTTAGACTCGTATATTATTAAAATCTTCTACTTTAATTCGTATATTGTGATGGAAAACATTTTCTGCAGTATAAACTCTACAAATATTTTATTTATGAATTCAATTACGTTTACTAGATTATTCATTTCTTCAATGTTCTATCAGATTATTTGTTAAACTGATTGCCCATTCAACTTTGCATATTTAATACTAATTCATTAAATAAAGTTTACTATTATAACTGATCTATTTATCTTGATTATTTAATTAAATTATAAATGAATAGCTAATGTGTTGGCAGGATCATGATTTTGTAATTTTTTTACTGTTGTGTGATGTTTTTTGTACAAATTTATGCATTTTTGTAGTTTAGATAATATTTCCATTTTTGGATATTGAAAAATACAAAGTGAAGTGTTATCTTCAATGGTGATTAATATAAAATTAAGTGTGTGTCTAGTCTTTAGTTGTGAATTCAAGTGATTGTTTAGGAATTTATTATATATATTATATTAAATGTTATATTAAGTACAAGCTCGCAGGGTACATAAAAAATCGCTGGGTCATATTGTCAAAAAATCATATTGTCAAATATAGACACTTTCTATCAAATCAACAATGAATTAATTAATGGAATTTACAATAAATTAATTGCATCAAAGTTGGGACAAAATCTCACTTATTTGGCTGTCGCCCGCATCTAAATGTTGAATATTGAAATTCAGATAAAGTTGAATTTCAAGGAAATGAATTCCACGCATAGGAATTATATATTTCCTATATAATTATTATATATTTCCACTATAAATATTTTCGGTAGAACTTCAATTTCTTGAATTTCTTACCTAAATGAGTTTCAGGCACTAATTTGGATTTTTTTGCCATTCATGGGTCATTCTAACCCGAATTAGCTCGTCATAAAAGGGGTATCTGCGCAGAAAGCGTGTCGCTATATGAACAATGTGACTCCTTCATTACTCTGAGTGATACATAAAGTTAATCTTGAAGTTTTTGGCCACGCAAAGGTTACCTGCGCGGTGATTATTACGTATAACTTGAGTTATGATTATAACTTGATAAGATTATGCCCTGTAATAAGCGCAGTGTTGTTTGATTGTAGGTAATTAGATGGTAGCAAATGGGAGTGTTATACTTATTCCAGTGTTTGTGATCTCAGGCCTTGCGACCATATACAAGGGTTGGACAAAATAAGGGAAACACCCGACATTTTGACATCGTAATTTAATAAACAATGAAAACGTGACATATTTCTATGTTTTATTGTTGCTGCTAATTGATGTTTTATCCTTGCACAGATATTTTTAGTAATTTTTGTCTCGACAACCTTGCCTTATAACCTATAAATGGCAAACCTCTCTGACTTTTAAATTGGCTAAATTGTTGGTTCCCGTATGGCAGGCGCTAGTTTTACAGAAACTTCCCGAATGCTTGACGTTTCTAGCGGTACTTTCGCAAAAGTAATAACTGCTTATGAAGGAGAAGGAAAAACGTCCTCAGCAAAGTACAGGTGTGGCCGAAAGTGGAAGTCTGAGAGAAACCGTCGGTGTCTAAATAGAATTGTGAGGGACAATCGAAAGACCACGGCTGTTAAAATTACTGCAGACCTCAATAGATGCCTACAGAACCCAGTTTCCATAAAAGCTGTACAGATCTAAAGCTGTACCGAGAGCTGTACAGATCTGGATTCAATAGAAAACCTGCAATTTGAAAACTTCTGTTTTCAAATACAATTTGAAAACTTCTGAAAATACAAAATTTGAAAACTTTTGTTTTCAAATACAAATGCATCAAAGCGTTTAGTGTGGTGTAAAAACCTTCATAATTTGTCCCACGAGCAGTGGAAAATTTTGAATTCCTCCGACGAATCATCGGTTACCTTATTCCCAACCTCTGGCCAAGTTTACGGTTGGAGACAATGCAGGAGTCATTTAATCCTGACTGCCTCCTCCCAACCGTAAAACATGGTGGGGGATCTGGGGTGCTATTTCTTTGGAAATCCGGCGTACCAATGATTTCATGGAAGAACCAACAGCCGTGACTATTTAGGAAATTTGGAGAAACAAGTTCATCCAATGGTTCAAACACTGGTTCCGGAGGGATACGACATATTTCAAGATGATAATGCCCAGATTCATACAGCAGGAATTGGTAAAAAAATGGCACAAGGAACATTATAATGAAGTTGAGCATCTCATTTGGTCACCATGAATCATCAGACATGAATATCATCGAGCATTTATGGTCGATTTCAGAGATGCAATTCAGAAGGCAATTCCGCCGCCATCGTCTTTAAAAGAGCCGAAGAATTTTTAACAGAAATAATACGTTTAAAAATTACTTTTTAAAGACAACACTTCTAAAGAATCCAGAGTCTTCAATGTTACAAATGTACAATAAATTTCTCATTTTATGTTCGAATATTAAAAAAATTTAATTTTTCAATTTTTTAATATATAAAATTTTGTTTCAAATTATTTATTCTGTCAATTGATTCATGCATTGCCTCCAACTTCACACAAGTCTGCAAATTTTCAGATCAATTGGACAGGTAAAAGTGTTTGTCAAATATCAGTTATAAGATTTGTAGGATACAAAATTATTTTTTCAATTTATTTAAAATTGAAAAAAATGTTAATTTTAAAATCATTTATTTTATCATTTGATTCATGCATTGTCTCCAAATTTACGCAAGTGTGCAAAATTTCAGATCGATAGGATAAGTAGAAGTGTGTTAAATTTCGATTATAATATTTGTAGCAGACAGACAAACAGACAAACAAGAAGTGAAGTTAAAGAGAAGTATTGTAAAATAGGTTAAAATTCCTTTGGAAACAATTCACAATTTGTATGAATCAATACCTTGGAGATATGAGGCTACAATTGTCGCAAAAGGTGGACCTACACCATACTAAAATATATTTTGTGGATTTCTCAGGCGTTTCCTTTATTTTGTCTAACTCTTCTATATCTTGTAGATATATGGCACATATAGATATATGATACATATTGATATATAATACATATTGATATATGAAACATATTTCGATATATTTCCATTTATCCGGAATATGATTATTTTCTACCCAATGACATTTATAAAATTTTAATAGAGGGAAAAAAACTTCACCAGGCTGGACCTAAGTCCTAACCCCTGTAGAAAGGTAGGTGTCTAGAATAGAATGGAAGTGTCGGCACTGAAGAAATAGGCCCATGGCCTGTTGCCGATTCTTGAACTTTTCGTCACTTGATTCACAAGGGATCCGGCCTTTGGAACCCGATCTTTCCAAGAATAGACTAGACAAGGCCATGCATGAGCGATTTGATACACAACTGATATCTAGAAGCGATTCTAAATCTACCGTCCGTTGAAAAGATTTGATCAAAAGGCCAGTCTAGTCAAGAAAAGTACAAGAATCGGGGACAGGCCAATCCAGGCCTATTCTTTAATGCCGAAGATACTATACTATACTACTATAACTGACGATTGATTGAGATAGCTGCTGGACTTATTGCCTGGTCCGTCTAGCAATGTAAAGAAGTGCTTTATACACTCCTAAACCTAACCTAAAGTGGCTGGCGTTTTTACAATGCCCGGTAATGTAGTTTATTTATTCTGGCGTCCGGTTTTTAAGCACAAAATAAATGCCAACTATAGAACCGGACGCAATTTTGTCCGGATTTCTAACCCCTGTCCGGTAAAGTTATCAATCCTGTCCGGTTATTATCAAAACCATGCTTCATATAGATATATGATGTGTTGTAATATAATGTAATCATAATGCGTTATAATTATCCCTTGCTATGTAGAATGGAAGAGTACACGTTACCTGCATCTCATCACCTCCACCTGCATCACATCACCTCCACCTGCATCACATCACCTCCACCAGAACATCGATCGATGGCACCGATGCGCTGGCACTCAGAAACTTAGTGTGCCGCTGGCATCCGTGGAGGGAGGGTGTGTCGCCTCGCGTCTCTTGTTCGCACTTGCATCTTCTCTCTTTAGGTTTGCACACGCAGTTGTCAGAGCCTCTTGCAACAGTTACTAGAAGTTAGCTAGCACGCTTCCTAGAGTGCGTATCTACTGTATTTACGTTTTTCTCATTGCCCGTGAACTTTAAATTGAAAATACTCTTGGTGTCACTTTAGTATAGATTAACTCCGTGGATGTAAGTTAGTTAGGCACCTCGTGCATTGATAGCTCCCGAGTTTTGAGCTGACCCAGTGAAAGAAAATGGATGAAGGTGGATGAGTTTGCTAGGGAGTCCGTCGTGATTTCCCTCACAATGGAAGGGTAGCAGCGTGGCCATGAGGTGCCACTTACTGTGGGATCCTTAAATTGATTTTTTTTAAAGGGCTCAGGTTTCTCAGAGATCACCCTAAGGGTGTTAGTCTGCAGCCATTGCCCCTCACAGCATGGCGTCGGTGGCCGCTTGGTTACCGTTCGCAAGGGCAGCAGCTATAGGCTGGGTGCCTATTGCAAACAACCCATTGCCTGCACCCCCAATACCTAAAGATAAAAGGAGGCCTGATGACGAAAAACTTCTCATCAACGTCTCCGGCAGAAGATTTGAAACCTGGAGAAACACTTTGGAGAAATACCCCGACAGTCTCCTAGGGTCGAACGAGCGAGAGTTCTTCTATGACGAAGAAACCAAAGAGTATTTTTTCGACAGAGACCCCGACATATTCAGACATATCTTAAATTACTACCGCACTGGTAGACTACACTACCCCAAACACGAATGTTTAACGAGCTATGATGAAGAACTTGCATTTTTTGGCATCATCCCTGATGTCATCGGCGATTGTTGTTATGAAGACTACAGGGACCGAAAACGTGAGAATGCCGAACGACTTTTGGACGATAAGTTATCGGAGAACAACGAAGCTGACAAATACATTTATCGTAACATGCGGCAACGTATGTGGAGAGCGTTCGAAAATCCCCATACATCAACAGCAGCGTTGGTATTTTATTACGTAACTGGATTCTTCATCGCGGTATCTGTTATGGGCAACGTTGTCGAAACTGTCCCGTGTGGCAAACTTCCCGGCAAAAAGGACTACCAATCCTGCGGGGAAAGATACAAGATCGTGTTTTTCTGCGGAGATACTGCATGTGTCATGATATTCACGGCCGAATACTTTCTCAGGTTGTTCGCGGCTCCGAATCGATGTAAATTCACAGGCTCTGTTATGTCTATCATCGACGTAGTCGCCATCTTACCTTACTACATCGGACTCGTCATAACTGACAACGATGATGTCTCTGGAGCCTTTGTCACTCTCCGGGTGTTCAGGGTGTTCAGAATTTTCAAATTTTCGCGACATTCGCAGGGGCTAAGGATTCTAGGATACACTCTAAAGTCCTGTGCTTCTGAACTCGGGTTTTTGGTGTTCTCCTTGGCCATGGCCATCATTATCTTCGCGACTGTGATGTTCTACGCCGAGAAGAACGTCCCAGGCACCACATTCACCTCGATTCCTGCCGCCTTCTGGTACACCATCGTCACCATGACCACACTGGGGTGAGTGAAGCAAAATAATTTTTTTATTCAATTAAATTGGTATTGCTCTTTAATTTGATCATTTTAATGTTGTTTCTCAAATTAGAATTAAGTATATTTGGGTTGTTGCTTTGAATATTCTCTGTAACGAAGAAAATTACTAAAAAATTGATAATACCTTCAAATCAGGGTGGAATTTTGGGAGTGCTGGTTTATGTATTCAAGATAAGTCTTGCCTGAAAAATGAATCACTTCCAAAATATCAGCAAAATATAGGAGGAAAATTTCGTTGTTATTTAGGTTCAACATTTTTATAACCAACTTGTTATTAGTTTGCACCCCTGAATTTCATCTTGATTCAAACATTCATTTAGTAACTAGAAAATTGTTTGAATAGACATTAAATACTTTTTCTTGAATATGTTTTATTCTAAAGAGTCAGAAGCTAACGAATAACGAAGTTACGGTTAATATAGTTAGAATTATTTTTCAAAGCTGCCTTTTAAAATATAATTTGCTCTTGAGGTAAAAATTACATTGGTTGTAGAAATCATGTTCGTCGTGAAACTTAGATTCATAGTATAACTTGCGTTAGTCGTAGAACTTGAGTTAGTCGTAGAACTCGAGTTAGTCGTTGAAACTGAGTTCGTCTTAGAACTTGAGTTCGTCGTAAAACTTACGTTTATCGTATAGGACTTGCATATTAGTCGCAGAAATTGCGTTCGTCTTAGAACTTACGTTCGTCGTAGAGTTTGTGCTCACCTTAGAACTTGCGTTCGTCGTGAAATTTTTGATCATCTTTCAACTTAAACGTCATAGAGCTCTCATCACTTGATGAATTTTTAATTACGACCACCGTATGATAGTTTGGCCATTAATAAAGAGATTACATATATGTCTTCTTTAGCCCACCCTCCAGTGCAAGAGAAATCTTGAGTGGAAAAGAATTAAATTATAATGCAAATAATCAATTAATTGATCATTTAAAGAATAAAAATAAGCATCCACTGCTAAACTGCAGGAATAGTACTGAAGGAATATCAATCATGATAAGAAGGAGAGAAGAAATCAATTGAAGGAAGGGGGCTGCACGGCCTGATATGTGATCTCGCTGTCTCCTCTCTTTCAACTGTCAAGCGTCAATTCCCTGTCAACTTCCGATTATCTGTCAAACTGCCAAGGCTTGACGGCTGATTATTTCCAGATGAAATTATGTGATGAAAATCATAGCCGCGTCATGGGTGGCCACCTGTACGATGGCCACGATGAACGATCGACGTTCTGCGACCTTCGAATCAATTGGCAATTATTGCAATGGTGAACTAAAATACTCTATCATTTATTTAATAATATTATATGTATAACAATATTATATGTATAATATATTTGTATTATATACTATATAATATTTAATACGTATAAGGCATTTACTAGATATTACTCATCAGCAGATAATTAAAGTTTGCTATTCATTTTATCAAAACTGTAATGAATATTAGAATATGAATTTTTTAGGTTTTTTTTTTATTGCGACATGAATTTGACTGAGTTACTTTTATTGCGACATGAATTTGAATTGCATTCTACGAGTAACTCGTTTCAATGATATTCACCAGCGCTATGTTATAGTAAATTGAACTAAAATTAGTAAATACTTTACTTGACGGTAAGAAATTGCTTTTAATATAAAACAATGTTCTTAGATACTCCTTCAATTCGCACAATTTTTTGTTGTATGCAGTGCCTTTCCCCGACTACAGCGCACGTACTGTACGATTAACCTATTCAATGTCTGATTCATTCTGACTAATTCATTCATTCTGATGAATAATTCACTGAGTTACTCGCACGTGATTCAATAGTGAAGTATCAGCGTGAATACTTTAAATGAATGATGAATTAGTGAACTATATATATAGTTTGACCAATGGATGAGCATCAGCGTGAATTCTTTTATAATGAATGATGAGAAAGTGAATTAACTCAGCGGATGGATGAGTATCAGCGTGAATACTTTTAATGGATAAGATAGTGAAGTAACCTGACCAATGCATAAGCACCAGCGTGATAGTGTAGTGCACTTTTTGTGTTCAAATCGTGAATCAAATTACGTGTTGTGGATGATTGAACTTTCACAACGGGAAAGATGTGCAAAAATTTATCAAGTAAATAGTAAGATAAAAATATGCTATCTATTCTGGAAAAAATTTTATATCAAATTTAAAACTTTTAATTCTTGAGTTTCTTGCGTCGCTGACTAAAATGATTCACTGAATTTCAGTGAAATTTTGTAACCGCGAAGAGTCAAGGAGTTTGAAACTTCATGCAGCCAATGTTTCGTGCCGTGATATGCACTTACTCTAACAAAATTATATTTTCATATAAAACATAGTGTCTGGTGAATTTCAATCCTCAATTTCTCCCTAATTTTCATAACCAGTTTCAGTCTAATTTTTAGCTTAACACGTTGACTACGTATTGGTACATATGCGTACCACGAAATGTATTTCTCCAGGAGGTAGTGGTACATAATTCAGGTTACCTAAAATTGGCCAAATCCGAGAACAAAAAAGGCCAAAAAAGGCGATAACTCAAAATATAATAGTTTATTTCTAGGTTCTACTATAAAAATTCCATTTATTTTCTTTTTGCAGTATGTAAAATTTAATTAGGAAGTACCCCTATCATAAATTTTAGCCGGCCAACGCAATTGAGAAAAACCAAATCACGGAATTTGTCCGGAAAAAATAACCGTCTGGCAACCCTGTTTAAAAAAGTGCAATAAATGAAATAATAGTACAAGATGAAGCAATCGTAGTCAACGTGTTAACCAATACAGTTCAAAATCATAAGTAATCGAAATAATAATTAAGCTCGAATGAAACATACTGTTAGTCCAAGTTAAATCAAAGTCGCAGTTCCGGCGTTAGATTCATGAGAAGTTTCACTCCATCTCACTTTTGCTGCTTCATCTTCGGCTGACAATCTGCGAAACTCTGACTTATCGACCTTATACTTGAAAAAACACCGGGATGGACGATACTTTTGTGATACATTACTCCTTGCTCTTTATTTACTCGATTTTTATTACTTAATTTCTCATAATTTTCCCAGTTAAGTACCCTTTTCGCTCTTTATTAATTGCCATGATCTTTATTACTGGACTTTTCGTCTTTTTTTCAAGTTTCCATTCCCTCTCACCCTTCATTACCACGTTCTTTATTACTTGACTTCTCATCTTTTTTTTTAAGTTTCACCGCTATTTTTTGCTTGACGCCTTCGATTGTTTATGACTGATATTAGGAAATTTCTAGACGTCGTATCGGTATAGCCGCTCGGTGGCTGATTGCTTGAATTCGGTAATCAGACAAGATTTATAAATTGCATCTTGCAGTCAAGATGCAAAACGCGAATCAGATATACGAAAATACGTGCTTAATATAAGCGAGGATACGTGTACGATATTGGGGGTAAGATTTTATAGGAAGAGCATTACAAATGAAATTATATGGGAAACTGTGATTGTCAGCGACTCGTTTGTTACTGGCCTACACTGAGTGTAGCATGTTTCTCATGCCATGACCTACACTGAGTGTAGCATGTTACTCATGCCATGACCTACACTGAGTGTAGCATGTTACTCATGCCACCTACACTGAGTGTAGCATGTTACTCATGCCTATTCATCGCTAGGCTCAAGGCTGCTGAGAGAAGTCTGCTGCAGCGGCGCAAGCTTACAAAGTTTACTAACAAATCAGCCTAATTGACGAGAGTGGCTAGCCTGCGTGGTAGCCTGCATGGTAGCCTGCATGCTAGCCTGCGTGGTAGCCTGCGTGTTAGCCTGCGTGTTAGCCTGCATGGTAGCCTGCATGGTAGTCTGCATGGTAGCCTGAGCTGGTAACTTACCAGCCTAGTACCAAGACCACCTCGTGGCGCTAATAAGTAAAAATAAAAAAATATCAATTCGGACGTCTAGAAACTTGCCTATAAATTTTTGCCGTCCAACGCACACTCAATGAAATAAGCGAGACATAATCCATATACTGATGCAGTTTTTACCTTGTGTGGTTCACTCTAACGCTCTTCACCCCTGGTGAAGGATGCATCAGTACTACGCCTGGAAATTGTGTCACTATTTGGTCAACCTATCCTTTTAAAAATTTTGAGCCAATCAAGGTCGTCCTTGCCGCATAAAAATTTGCCTGCTGTGCTCGGCGCAGCGGCGGCGCAGCGGCGGCGCAGCGGTGGCGCAGCGGCAGCGCAGCGGCAGCGCAGCGCCTCGCCGATATCGTCAGTGCAGAAGCGCGGCATAAATTCTGCTGTAATTCGATCATTTACGTAGAAAAATTAATGGGTAATTTTGTTCAAATAGTGAATTGCTTTATGCACGTACCCCTGCTAAGCTCTTTTGTCGGGCCAAACTGGGCGGTCCGGATGACCCACAAAAGGTCAAATGGTGCATCACTATTTGGTCAAAGCCTCATTCATTTCACCGGGTGTACCTGCGTAAATCACCAATTTTCTGCCAAGGGTTTGCCCTGTGTGAGTCATTCCGATCCAGTTGGGCCATACAAATGGGCGCATCAGAGAATAGTCCCGTTCTCTGTAAGTGATGTGGTTAAATAAGTGGGTCAAAATTTTATAGTTTCCCAATCATATCTATATGTAAATAGTTTATATACAGTATCCCAATCAAAGTGACACATTATTTTATACAATATCCCAATCATATCTAAATGTAAATAGTTTATATACAGTAACCCAATCAAAGTGGGTCATAATTTTATACAATATCGCAATTATTTTTACAATATCGCAATTATATGTCTGCGTATAGTCCCGGATCACGGCAGACTGGCTGCCTGAGGCGTGAAATATTGACGACGCATCGCAAGCTCAGGCTTGTGACATTCTCCTCTCAGAGAAATGAATGGGACATTGTCTAAATAACGATGTATTTTCTGCCCCTGTATCGGTCATCATGATTCACTTTGGCCCTGTATAAGGACGTATTAGTGCTTCTTG